CCCTGGCTATCTGTGGAAATATGAAGGCTTGTAAAAGAATGATCAAGACTGTTATGCGCGGGAATTGGGACCACACCCAGGAAGGAGCCTGACCATGGCTTGGAGCGGGAGCTCGATGTGAGAGCTCCTGGCTCCCAAGCACCTCCAGTGTCCTGCTGAGAAGGGGAGAGATGTGCGGGAAGCCCTGGAGAGACTAGCCGGGTAGAGGGGGGGCTTGCCTGGCGTGGACCGAGGACCTCCGGGAGTGGCGGCCATCGCGGCGGGTCTTCCTGTGCTCACGGCCCGACACTGTGTGTTCCCTGGAGCTCAGTGGACGCCGGGCGATCAGGTGATCTGCCGCAAGGGAGCTCTGGGAGGCAGAGGAGCTGGCCGGTGTTTCTTGGAGCAAGGGAGACGCCGGCTCTCTTCCTCCTGCACACAGGACCGTGGCAGCTGGAGACACGCCGAAACGGGCTGGGTGAACACCCCCTGCAATCCACTCATTGTGTGAGGGGAATGTCGAGTGCAATGTTCCCCAGAAGAAAGTACCTGGAGCTGCCTCACCCCTCACTTGAAGAAAAGGAAGAGATGTCCTAAAGTGCGGGAAAGTCTCTCAGAGAATTTCAATCTCTATAGAAACCAGAGATCTCACATGGGGGAGAAGTATTCCTGTTTCGAGTGCGGGAAATGTTTTTAATGTAAGTCCTATTTTTATATATACCAGTGATAATACAAGAGGGAGCAGCCATACCCTTGTTCAGAGTGTGGGAAATGCTTTTCATAGAAGTCCAGCCTGCATATAAATCAGAGACCTCACATGAGGAAGATGCTATATCCCTGTTCTAAGTGCGGGAAATGTTTTCTCAGATAAGTCTAGACTTACACGGAGGAGAAGTTGTATACCTATTCGGAGTGCGGGAAATATTTTTCAGAGAAGTCCCTTTCTTCATATATGACATAGATCTCAAACGGGGGAAAAGCCGTACTGGGGATAAGAGGGTGAGTGATAGCGACAAAAGTACTGAGATTAATATATTGCATGGGAACTGAACTGTATGTATTGAACTATAGGTTTAAACTGAGGAGGGGTTCTGTCAAGGTCCTACCTTTTCCCAGAGGTTATGTTACTCCATGTGCTAGCATCCATCTTGGATTTCTACTGAGCATAATGGGAATCTTTTATGCCTTCAGGTCTCTGAGGTCCATCCCCCAGAGGGGTGTGGCTGAGTACATATAAGCCTGGGATCTGCACATGCTCTTTGCACTTGTGCCTTGTGTCTTTGTCTTGCTACAGCTCTGTGTATACGCTCGTGACTCTTCTGGTATTCTGACTCGGCTTGTGACTAAGACCATTCTCTGTGTTTCCCTTTGATCTGACCTTCCGTTGCTGAACCCGGCCCGTGACCTGTGATTCTCTGTCTACTGTTCTGTACTGTTTTGTCCCGTTGTTATTGACCCGGCTTGCCTGACTACGCTATTGTCATTCTCACCAGCTACACGCCATTGGCGGCGGCCATTACCGCAGCTGGGGTGTCTCGGGGGCCGCGACCTGGTCCCTGGTTGCGTCAAGTCCATCCCCACCATCAGGGGCCCTGGTGAAGGGCAGCCTGGGACTTAGACTCCGTGCCCTGAGGGACTTCAGTCTGTTGGTGGTGGTTGTCGTCAGCCAGTGCGTTACCCTGCCACTAGGCCTACCTGTCCGTTCCACAGCCCTGCCCTGACAGGTTCTTAGAGGAAAATCAGAAGGAGGACAATGTAAAACAGACAAAGACCTAGAAGAAGAGGACCTGGGCAGATCAGTTCAGGAGTGGGGGGAGAGAAAAAGGAAGAAAAGAACTGAGAGGAGGATACTATGGAAGACAACAAATTTTGATATCAAATCAAAAATAGACCCCCCCCCCCCCCCCCCCCCCCCCCCCCCAAAACCACAACTGCGGAAAATTTAAATAGTCCATGACAGCATGAAAAACAAAGTATCACAGGGAGGAGGGCCTAAGGCTTCCCAAACAGGGTCAATTAAAAAATACATACCCTCACTGGAGAAACAGACTCCAGAGAGACAACAGGGAATGAGGGTAAGAGGGAAAACAGTGGGGAATGTTCCAGACTTTCCCTGGGAATAGCTAACAGTAGTCAACATATGGAAGAAGAAGTGGATATGGTAAAGTAGAAGAACAAGAGGAGAACTCACAGATGCCTACTAAAGCAGAAATAGCAGAAATGTTTAAAGGACTTTAAAGATCCCTAAAACAGGAACTGGCGAAATTACATAAATATCTTGGGCAAATATTATCAAGGGTGGAGGAGACGGAAGAAAAAACTAGATAAACTTGCCCAAATTATACAGAAATTAGAAAAAAACGGACGATGGAACTGAGAAAAAGAACAAAGAAATCTGTTATATAAATTGGAAGACCAGGAGAATAGGGATAGGAGATGCTATATAAGGATACAAGGCTCCAGAGATCTCCCAAGGAGAAGATTTGACAGGAATAATAATGAGAATGCTGAATACTATAATGGATAGAACTAAAACAGAGCCTCTCAAAATGGAGGGAGTATATAGAATAGGAAAATACATACAAGAAGATAGAAAGGAAAAGCCAAGAGATGTAATAGTGCAATTCCATAATTTTCGGGATAAACAAGAGCTTTGGAAGAAGATAAAAGGAAGAGCAATAATAAAATATGGAGAAATAAATCTACAGATCTTTGCTGATTTAGCAGTGGAAACATTAATAAGAAGGAGAACTTTGAAACCGTTACTGGAACAGATGAGAAAACAGAATGTTCGATATAGCTGGGGGTTTCCAGCATGTTTGATCGGTAGGAGAAATGGACGTTCAGCAAGACTGAGATTCCCCGAAGATCTGAGAGACTTTTGTGAGAGACTTGATATACAGAAAATAAATATTCCTGGTTAGGAGGAAGAGAAGGAGAAATGTGGGCTATGGAAAATGAGGGGAGGCAAGTAGCTCTAAGGAGAAGTAGAGAGTAGGAATAGTAAAGAGGAATAAGATGGGAGGGAAGGGCGGGTTCCTCTCCCCCTTTTTTTTTTCTCTCTCTCTCTCTCTCCCTTAATTTCTGCCTCTCTCTTATGGTCTTTGAAGTTTACTAGAGTATGGCAGGACACGGAGGATGAGACACGCTTATTGGGGAAAAGTTCATGGTCAGAGCTTCACCTTAAAAGCTGAATCAAAGGTGGGGTTAGGACCACAAATGATTCATAGGCAAAAACTAAGCCTAAAGGGAGATGGGGGGGTGGGGGACAGGGGGAGGGGAGTGGGAGGGAGGAGGGATGGAGAAGAGACGTGAGGTTGGAGGGAGGGTATGGGGAGGGGATAGGTAGTTTAAGACTCTGCGAAATAGTGGGAGAAAACATCAGTCTGGATAAATCCTAGAGATCAAAGGGGAAAATGTGGAGGAAAGAGGAAGAGAGACGAGATGGGGAAGATAGAGGTGTGGAGAGGAGAAGAATGGAAGAGATTCACTTTGTGACTTATAATGGTAAAGGGTTAAATAGCCCTGGGAAGAGATTTGGGATTTTTAAAGAAATTCGACATAGATTTTCTTCAGTGGTTTTTTTACAGGAGACACATTTGGTGCAAGAATCAAATGTGAAATTAAATCCCAGATATTATCCAATGTGGTTTTATGCAGATTCCCCAATTAAACGTGCCAAGGGAGTGGCAATAGGTTTTTGCAAAAAATATAAGGTTTAAGCTGGAAGACAGATTGGTAGGGGAGGGGAGATTTCTGTTTCTGAAGGGAAAATTACAGGAAATAGACTGTACACTAGCAAATATTTATTGCCCGAATAAGAAACCGTAGGTATTCCTAAAAAATACTCTGAGGAAGTTAATGGATTTCAAAAAAGGCAATTTAATTGTGGCAGGTGATTTCAATCTCTGCATGGATCCCCAGATGGATATGACATCCCCTGTGCAGAGAGATGGTAGTAGGTCTCTGAAAATCCTTGAAAAAAATGATATACCAATGTCAGCTTGTATATATGTGGAGAATTAAGCACATATATAAATAAAAAAAAAAGACTTATGTGCACGTTTTTTTCTTCTAGTCACAAACATGTATTAAAAGTAATCTATTAATTTTAATCAGTAGCTCCAAGTCCAAACTTTTAACACAATTTCCATTTTGTGTCCTTTATGTTATAACAGGTTTACATTTACTTACACCTCCCATTGTTATTCCATCAATGAAAGCGATATAGGGTTTTCTGCATGTTCCTGGCAAAAAAAAAAAAAAAGGTCAGAATTCAATTCTACAGCAAGGCAAAATTGTAGAAGGTAGCTGATACAAATATTTGAATGTTTCATTGACTAGCGCTATAGGGGCTTGTGGCAATGGCATCAGATTGACATTGGTTTTAGATGCTTCTGAGATTGTTCATAATTTATTGAAAAGTGCATTTGACCTGCATTAACATTTTTCAAGTGGGTTTTGCATTCCCATAAACTTGAAGGGAATGCAAAATCCATCGGAAGCTAACAAAAGTTCGTCAACACAGCTCCTAATGCCATAGTAACTGCATTTTTGGAAAGCAGTCGAGTTTGTAGCCGATGCCTGCTAGAAATATAATTATTACTCTTCTACTTTACAGCATGGCTCTATTTCATGGTAACAACATGTCCCTCTAAAGCTGAAGCACAGAACATGTATTAGATTCAGAAACCTTGATCTTACTCTACAACAAAACTAATAAAACAGAATAGTATTTGGGGATATAGATAGAATCAAACACTGGCTTTAACCACTTGCCTACAGGGCACATATACCCCCTTCCTGCCCAGACCAATTTTCAGCTTTCAGCATTGTCACACTTTGAATGACAATTGTGTGGTCATGCAACACTGTACAAATATAAAAATGTTATAATTTTTTTGAGACAGATAGAGCTTTCTTTTGGTGATATTTAATCACCTCTGTATTTTTTTATTTTTTTGCTAAACAAACCAAAAACAACTGAAAATTTGGGGGGAAAAAAGTTTTCTTAGTTTTTGTTATAAAATTTTATAAATAAGTGACTTTTCTCCTTCACTGATGTGCACTAATGAGGCTGCAGTGATGGGCACTGATAGGCTGCACTGGTGGGCACTGATAGGTAGCACTGATGAGGAGGCACTGGTAGGTGGCACTGATGGGCATTGACAGGCATCACTGATGGGCACTAAAAGGCGGCACTGATAGGCAGCACAGACTGGCACTGTTAGGTGGCACTGACTGGCACTAAGTGACACTGAAAGGCAGCTTAGATGGGCACTGATATGTGGCATTGATGTGCACTGGTAGGCACTGATATGTGGCATTGATGTGGCACTGATGGGCACTGGCAGGTGGCATTGATGAGCACTGACAGCTGGCATTGATGGACACTGACAGGTGGCACTGATGGGGCTACACTGATCATCAGGGCACACTGATCATCAGGGCAATGTCCCCTCTGAGGGATGCCAATTACCATCTCTCCTCTCCTCTCGAGCTGTCAGAGTGACAGCTCGTGAGGAGAGAAATGCCGATAACTGGCATTTCCCTATTTACATGCGATCAGCTGTGATTGGAAAGAGCTCTTTCCGTTGATCGGTGATCCGCTGCATCTGAGGGACACAGCGCACCACCATTCACTGCACTGCATGCCCCCGGAGCAGCACATGAGCAGTTGGAATGAGAGGACATCATATGACGTTGTAAGGGATTTCCGGCAAGAAGAATCGTGATCGGAAATGCGCATGCGCGCAGGAATGCGCATGCGCGCAGGAATGCGCGATCGCGCACACATGGCGAAGATTGGCGCCAGACGACCTATTTAAGGAGTGCCTCTGCTCATGTTCAGTGTTGACTGGTCTTTAGCTCCCTCGTGTCCTGCTTGTTCCTGTATGATTCCTTTGTTGCTGACCCGGTTTGTTCCTCACCTGACTCTGATTGCTCTCCTGATTGATACTGGGGTTCCTAACTTCGGCTCTGCTCCTGACCTTGGCTTTTCCTTCTGATTCTGTACCGTGCTGCCCGACTGTTGATGACCCCGGCTATTCCATGACATTGCTCCTGTCTCTTGTGCTCACTACCTGCCTTGCTCTGGTGCACGCCTGACAATCTGCAAAACCTGCATTGCCTACTACTACTGTGCCAAAATCCGAGGATCATCAGCCTACCAAGGTCTTCATCAGCAAGAGCTGCAAACAACAACTACTGGCACTCTTGTTCCCCTGGGTCCTAGGCTCCCTCTGTTCCAACTCCAGTGGGGTCAGGGCTGGTGACACAAGTGAGGCCGACCTCGTCATTTCAGTCTCCCATCAAGTACGTGACAGACGTCCTCGCAGAACGAGAGAACCGCCTTGCGCCCATCATTACCTTATATGGCGGGCGGGAGGGAGGTGATTAAACAATCAATTAACATGTTGTAACTGCAGTCCTTGGCCATTCTAACTGCGTAACCCTTTGTCAAAGTGCATACACATATATGCATATGTGTGCTTGTGGTGAGGTCACAGTCACTGTACAGCCCGCCCAATTTATTTTCTCTGCTCTTGAATGGAGAAAAGATATTCTGCATCTTTTTCTCCTTGCTAGAGGAGAAACATGCAAACAAAGCAGTGTTTGTAAAAATAAATAAATATAATAAAATATATAAAAGGCTGCACTATTATTTCTACTAATAACAACAAATGTGGCATCACTGTGATTTGTTTTAACCCAATATGAAGGGGTTACAAATACATTTTTATTATATGACTACTTTTATGCTTTACTATTAAATCAAAATTCAGTCAAACAGCTAAACAAGGGTTTGAAGCAGGCCATAAACAATGGACACTTACTGTATACTAGCACTATGAAATGTATTACCATGTCAGAGACTTGTCCAGAGAACTAAATTAGAACTCTACTTATTAAACAATGAACTATATGCCACTATGCATCAATACAGAGATAAATCATGCAGACCTACTTGACAAATTTAGCATTAAAGCCCAATTAAATTCCACATCTTATATCTTTATATTTCACTACCCCAAACATTATAATTTGTAACTGATTTTTGCAGAGAAATGTCTCAAATACCATTCTTTCAGTGAAAATGTTGCTTCCTGCCCTAATACTGCAATGGTCTATGCAAACAGAATCAAATGTGTGGCCTGAAGCGCAGTAAAAGGGAAGAGGTGTTTCTGACCAGGTCTGTGTAAATTACAGAGAGCAGTGGCTCTTTTGTTATGCCTTTTAGACTCCACAGTCATATTTCACATCGCAGGAAAAGTAAAACAATAATGAAAATTGTAAGTACAATGTCTATCTGATTATACTTGTTTCTGTGTCTTCAATTGGGATTTATTACACAAAGGGAATGTATTATGTGTAAGCAGAACGCATCAATGTGCAATAATTCCACAATAATTTGGGTATTCCTCCCATGCATATTCAACTAGTTCCTAAATTTTTTTTTTCTTTGACACCCAAGCAGGACTGGCTTCAGAAATGGAAGATTATCTGCACTGTAAGGAGGAAATAACACATCTGATCAGGAATCATAATATTGGGGTTTCCATCTTCAACAAAAAATGAAAGCTAGTTCTTCAACCCACTTATTTCATTGTAATGGTATGACATCACGAATATGTTGAAACGGACATATTATTATTATACAGGATTTATATAGTGCCAACAGTTTGCTCAGTGCTTTACAATATAACAGGAGACAATACAGCAACAATACAGTTCAATACAAGAGGGTTAGGAGGGCCCTGCTCCTTGGAGCTTACAATCTAAGAGGGAGGGGTTAGTGGTACAAAAGGTAGCAACTGTGGGGGATGGACTGGTAGGAGGAGTAGAAGATTCCATTATTAGCTGAGGGTAGGATAGGCTTCCCTGAAGAGACAGGTTTTCAGAGATCGCCTAAAAGTGAGCAGAGTAGGCAATAGTCGTATAAGTTGGGGTAGAGAGTTCCAGAGGATGGGGGAAGCTCTGGAGAAGTCCTGGAGATGAGCATGGGAGGAGGAGACAAGGGAGCTAGAGAGCAGGAGGTCGTGCAAGGAGCGGAGAGTACGGTTTGGGTGATATTTGGAGACAAGATCGGTGATGTAATTTGGGGCAGAGTTATCAATGGCTTTATATGTTATTGTTAATGTTTTGAATTTTATCCATTGGGCACTGGGAAGCCAGTGGAGGGATTGGCAGAGAGGGGTGGCAGATATGGAACGGTTAGTAAGGTGGATGAGTCTGGCAGCAGCATTCATGAAAGACTGCAGAGGGGATAGCCAAATCTTCTCTTAGGTTGGACTCACACCTGAGTATAGTGGAAACACATGTTCCCACTCATGCTTTTTAGCACATTGAACACTTCGCATATAGGGCAGTTCATTCACTTGCATGGGCTGCCCTAAGCATGAAAACGCCTCAATGAAGTTCCAGAACGTAAAGGTTTTTTTCACAGCGCATTTTTGGCACATTTGTACATTTGCCACATGATAAAACACGTCTGCTACCCAAGCTTGCAGCACCATTAACAAATATTGACATGACAAGAGTGATGTGTGTTTGTAGCACATTTCTGAAACATGTGGCAAAACATGCATTTTCTGTACGTTTTGTTGCTTGATCCAGAAATGCCAGGAGTGAATGCAGAAGAATATAACAGTAGCAAAGGGAATCTAATGTGGGGAAAAAGTGTGCAATTACAACATGGTAGAATGAGTCAAGGTTAAATTTTCACTTGGAAGTTAAAGAGTAACTCCACTTTTGTGGATAAAAAAAATACCCTCTGGGTAATCAATATACATTCCAAGGATTTTAACAAACTTTGTTGCAGATTCCTACCTTTTGTTGCTCTGATGAAATAGCTGTTTGTTTAGTTATGTTATGAGCAAAGTTAATCTGAATGGTAGTGACTTTCATTGTCAAGCAGCTGTTGCACTTGCAGGGCCGTAATGAGAAGAGGCAGGGTCTGAATCCCTTTAATGTGATTAACCGTTGGGGAATACCTCACCAGAAATTAAATGTTTTCTACAAAGGATGCCTAAAATCTGACTTGTATCTTGGTGCAGTCTTCTGAACAAAGCCTCGAAGCATGTAGCTGTGCCCACCATGACATCAGTGTGTGATGTCACCAGCCTGTGTGAGTCCGAGTCTTCCAGCTGCTTCACCGCATTTCTCTGCAGTCCACCATGGTTCTGCCTTAACCATGTGGTAACCATGTGCCCCCAAGGGGCAGTGACGTCACCACGCATCTGACCATCATTACGGCGAGTACTGACGGAGTGTGATAACACTCCCACGAGGCTGATCCTCACCGCAATCTGCGGTTTAATTGTATTACAAGCGTTTTTATAATTTGAATAATGTGAGTGCATTATGGGAGCATATTAAAGATTGTCTTTACATACCTTGGATAAGGCACCATATTCTCATTCCTTTTTCCTTATGGGTCATATGAGGATACATTGAGCATTGGAGTGAGGAGAGGTTCTAGGAGGGAGAAATCCTTATACCTACACAGGCTCAGAAGAGAAGCCACATGATCCCAGCTACACAACCACAAGCAGCTTGAAAGGAGAGTATATTATTATCACCATTTTTCTGCTGAACTTCATTTTTTTTTGCACAATTTGCACATTGGACTTTATGAATTTATTTTTAACTAGTTATTTATATTGCGAAATTATCACAATTGGATTCATTTAAATACTTATTTATATAAGGTTTTTTTTTAATTTTGATGACACATTGTGTGAATATAATTTGATTCATTATGGTGATGCAGTTTGCAAGTTGATATTCTCACAGCACATAATATTGAACAGTTTTACTTTCTATGCACGCTTTATTGGCACGATAGTATTAGAGCGCGGTAATTATTAAATAATAAGAATTGTTACTGTAAAATACCTTTCTCTGAGTTAATTGATGGACACAGCTCTTCTGAATCTTGACCACAAAGGTAAAGTGCCACCTACAGGAGCAGGACACTAGGCTGAAAAGAACACAGAACTGCCTATGGGTGTTCCTCTGGTATAAACCCCCACTCTGTTATAGGCAAGCCAGTTAGTCACAGAGCAGTGTCCGAAGTATAAACTCCAATAAAGGGGTGGGTGCTGTGTCCATCAATGAACTCAGAGACAGGGAATTTAAGGTGATGTAGTAGGATTTCATATTAACCCATGTATTTTATATTATTCACATTAATTTGCATGATAAGTATTATTTATATTATCATTATTATTGATTCAATAGTAAGCAATAGTTGTTAGCCTTTAGAAACTTGTATATTATTTCATAATAGCGAAAATGTGAATTTGAAGTTGATTTTGTGACTGGACTATATTTTCAAGGATAATGGCATTCTTGAGACTAGGAGATAAACCTTGATAAGAAATGAATTAAGCCTGACAAGTGTAGTGATTAGAGTAATATGTGTGAAAACTGTGTACTTAACCACTTCCCGTCCGGTCCATGTATATAAACGGCCAGACAGGAGCAGTGCAGGAGCGGCGCCCTCTGGACACAGCAAAACACTGATCGCTGTATGGGACCTCTGTGTGAGGTCCCGATCATGTGGTCCATGAATAGTAGTAAGCAAGATGTCACTTCTGACATCATTGCCTACTATGTGTGAAATCTGTGAATTATCACAGAGATCACATGATACAAGGCTATTCACGCAACCTTGTACCATGTGACAAGCTGTGACCAACCACAGCTCTCACAGTATTTCTCAATGGATGCAAGAATGCAGCCAGAGAGAAAGAGAAATTATTGCTTTTACTGCTAGGGTGACACTATGTTAAAAACAAAATACAAATATTATAAAAAAGTAAGAATATAAAAAAAATGTTTGAAAAATTATAATTTTTGGTTATAAACTAATTTGGGTTTTTTTTTTACTAAAAATAATAACTGAATAAATTTTGTCCAAGATTTACAAAGAAAGCTTATTTATTTGCAAAATGTTATAAGAAAAACACTCCTTTTCAAAATGTTTGGACTTTTTCATTTATATAGCAACACAAATAAAAATCCCAGTGGTGAATCAATACCACCTAAAATAAAGTTCTATCTGTCTCAAAAAAATGCTAAAAAATTCACATGGGTACAGTGTTGCATGACTGCGCAATTGTCAAAGTGTGAAAGCGCTGAAAGCTGAAAATTGGCCTGGACAGGAAGGAGGTAAAAGTGTCCAGACTTGAAGTGATTAATTAAGCTGACAGGTCCATACTGTAGATAAGGGTCTGCCTACAGTTGCAAGAAAAAGTATGTGAACCCCTTGGGATTACGTGGAGTTTTGCATGAATTGGGCATAAAATGTGTTCTGAACGTCATCTAATTCACAACAATAGAAGAACACAGTCTGCTGAACATAATACTACACAAACATTAGATGTTGCCATGGTTTAATTGCACATAACATGTAAACATTCACAGTGCAGGGAGGAAAAAGTATGTGAGGCCCTAGCTTAATTACTTCTCCCAGAGCTAATTGGAGCCAGGAGTAAGCCAACTTGACTCCAATCAGTGTGATGATATTGGATGTGTTGCTGACAGCTGTCCTGCCCTTAAAAAACACACACCTGTTTTGGGTTTACTGGTTTCAAGAAGCACTGTCTGATGTGAACCATGCCTCGCAGAAAAGAGCTCTCAGAAGTCCTACGATCAAGAATTGTTGACTTGCATGAAGCTGGAAAGGGTTACAAAAGTATCTCCAAAAGCCTTGATGTTCATGTGTCCACGGTAAGACAGACTGTCTACAAATGGAGAAAGTTTAGCACTGTTGCTACTCTCCCTAGGCATGGTCGTCCTGTAAAAATGACTGCAAGAGCACAGCACAGAATGCTGAATCAGGTAAAAAAGAATCCCAGAGTGTCAGCATTCTGCATTTTACAGGAAAACGTACGACCATCTGTCCGCCAACTGAAGCTCCGCAGAGGATGGGTGATGCAACAGGACAATGATCCAAAGCATACAAGTAATTCAAACAAAACAATGGCTGCAACAGCACAGAATATGCCTTCTGAAGTGGCCCAGTCAGAGTCCTGACCTCAACCCGATTGAAATGCTGTGGCATGACCTTAAGAGAGCAATTCACAACAGACATCCCAAGAATATTGCTACACTGAAACAGTTTTGTGAAGAGGAGTGGTCCAAAATTACTCCAGATCGTTGTGCAGGTCTGATCTGCAACTACAGGAAACGATTGGTTGATGTTATTGCTGCCAAAGGAGGGTCAACCAGTTATTAAGTCCAAAGGTTCACATACTTTTTCCTCTCTGCACTGTGAATGTTTACATGTTATGTGCAATTAAACCATGGCAACATCTAATGTTTGTGTAGTATTATGTTCAGCAGACTGTGTTTCTTCTATTGTGACTTAGATGACGTTCAGAGCACATTTTATGCCCAATTCATGCAAAACTCCATGTAATCCCAAGGGGTTCACATACTTTTTCTTGAAACTGTATGTCTTAACTAATACTTTGAAATATATTTACACCCTGTTCCAAATTATTCTGCAAATTCTATTTAAGTGTCACAAAGATTAAATATTTTGTTTTTCAGTTTAACTCATGGCTGGCATTGTGTCTCAGGGCTCTTTTGATCACTGAAAACAATCTCGGACATCTGTGATAATTAGATTGGCAGGTGAGCCCAATTTAAGGAAAAACTACTAAAGGAGGGTGTTCCACATTATTAAGCAGAGCACCATTTTCAAGCAATATGGGGATGAAAAAAAAGGATCTCTCTGCTGCCGAAAAGAGTGAAGTAGTTCAATGCCTTGGACGAGGTATGAAAACATTAGATATTTCACGAAAACTTAAGCGTGATCATCGCACTATTAAGAGATTTGTGGCTGATTCAGAGCACAGACGGGTTCGTGCAGATAAAGGCACATTGAGGAAGATTTCTGCAAGATCCATGCATCGGATCAAGAGAGCAGCTGCTAAAATACCAGCAAACAGATATTTGAAGCTGCTGGTGCCTCTGGAGTCCCACGGACATCAAGGTGTAGAGTCCTCCAGAGTCTTGCAACTGTGCATAAACCTTCTATTCGGCCACCACTAACCAATGCACACAAGCAGAAACGGCTGCATTGGGCAAAAAATACATGAAGACTAATTTTCAAACAGTCCTGTTCACTGATGAGTGCCATGCAACCCTGGATGGTCCAGATGGATGCAGTAGTGGATGGTTGGTGGACGGCAACCCTGTTCCAACAAGCCTGCGACGTCAGCAAGGCGGTGGTGGAATCATGTTTTGGGCTGGAATCATGGGAACAGAGCCGGTCGGCCCCTTTAGGGTCCCCGAAGGTGTAAAGATGACCTCTGCAAAGTATGTGGAGTTTATGACTGACCACTTTCTTCCCTGGTACAGAAGGAAGAACTATGCTTTCCGTAATAAAATCATCTTCATGCATGACAATGCACCATCTCATGCTGCAAAGAATACCTCTGTATTAATGGCTGCTATGGGGATAAAAGGAGAGAAAGTCATGGTGTGGCCTCCATCCTCCCCTGACCTCAATCCTATTGAGAACCTTTGGAGCATCCTCAAGCAAAAGATCTATAAGGGTGGGAGGCAGTTTACATCCAAACAGTAGCTCTGGGAGGCTATACTGACATCTTGCAAACAAATTCAAGTAGAAACTGTTCAAAAACCCACAAGTTCAATGGATGCAAGACTTGTGAAGCTGCTATCAAATAAGGGGTCCTATGTTAAAATGTAACGTGACCTGTTAAATAGTTAAAAAGTTAAAATGTTGTTAAAAGTTTGATTGAAATAGCTTTTGATTTCAGTAAATATGCTGCAGACACAACAAATGACAATTTTCAGTTCTTTACAACCTATAAAGTGTTTTGAATCTTACTGTATGTAATAATTTGGAACAGTGCATTGTAAGTTTATGTTTAAAAAAAAAAATACTGTTATTAGGAGGTTTGTTCAATAAAATTTGAATTGTACTCTTAATAGTTGATAACATGAGAATTATGCTGACTTATTTACATCAATTATTTAGGTAAATGAGAAAAATATAATTTGCATAATAATTTGGAACAGGGTGTAAATATATGTATATTTAGAAAATATTAAATAAGAAAAATAAAACAACTTTGTATCATTACATACATATATTTACTATAGTGCATATTTATGTAACAAATATATAAATACATAGATACAGTGCCTTGAAAAAGTGTTCATATCCCTTGAAATTTTCCACATTTTGTCATGTAAAAACTGAAAATGTATCCTATTTTTTCGCTCCATAAGACGCACCTGACCATAAGACACACCTAGATTTTAGAGGAGGAAATAAAGAAAAAAAAATTCTGAACCAATGGACTGCAGACATAGTACAGGAAATGACCAGATAGTGCGGACACAGTACAGGAGATGACCAGAGACTGCGGCCACAGTACAGGAGATGACCAGAGACTGTGGACACAGTACAGGAGATGACCAGAGACTGCAGACATACTACAGGAGATGACTGATGTGAATTTACAATATATATGTAAAACGCTGCGTAAATTGACGGCGCTATATAAGTACCTGAAATAAATAAATAAAAAAAATACAATGACCAGAGACTGCAGACATACTACAGGAGATGACCAGAGGCTGCGGACATACTACAGGAGATGACCAGAGGCTGCGGACATACTACAGGAGATGACCAGAGGCTGCGGGCATACTACAGGGATGACCAGAGGCTGCGGACATACTACAGGAGATGACCAGAGGCTGCGGACATACTACAGGAGATGACCAGAGGCTGCGGACATACTACAGGAAATGACCACAGGCTGCGGACATAGTACAGGAGATGACCAGAGGCTGCGGACATAGTACAGGAGATGACCAGAGGATGCGGACATAGTACAAGAAATGGCCAGAGGCTGCAGACATAGTACAGGACATGACCAGAGACGAGACTGAGTACACAGTACAGGAGATGACCAGAGACTGCGGACACAGTACAGGAGATAAAGAGATAATATGCGAGCGCTATCCGGGGATCTGTAAAGGATAGCAGCTAGAACACCAGAAAAGGTAACCCAGAAAGAACCTTCCAGTAAAGTACATATATATATATATATATATATATATAAGGTGCAGCGCTAAAATAACATAAATATCATATTATAGCATAAAATCAAGTGCAAATATCAGATCACACTGAGGTGAAATTGAGGGTCCCCTTTTTTGAACAGGTTCTGCAACTGTGTTCTTCTCTCATTGAAGAGAGCCCAATAAAGGACACCACATAGCGTGATACCGTATACACTAAGTTTATTGAATCAGAAGGTAACACAACATGAATTGTAGAGGTAAAATGAAAGTAAACACTGACCAGATACTACTCAGGATGGCCACCAGTGATGGTCAGACGTCCGGATACTGTAGCCCCCCCCCCCCCGATGCGTTTCGTGCGATGCACATTATCAAAGGGTCCTGGGCTTACAGGCAGGGACGTCAAGAAACTGCTTATATTGATGAAATTCATGTGGAAAAGGCACCAGCGATTATCGCGGCTGCCATTTTCCCAGCTATCGGCGCATGCGCAGTGCGTCGGCGCCATTTTGTCATAGATATCCGGCTTACGATAGTGTCCTCTATAGGTCAGCGCCATTTTGTTGGCAGTATTCAGGCGCAAACCATTAGTGTAAGTCAGTGTGTATTACACTGTGACTTACAGAGATGTCTTCTACAGGTCGGCGCCATTTTATTGGTAGTGTTCAGACGCAGACAAGCAGTGTGAATCAGTAGAACAGGATTGTCCAGAGAGGACAGATTCTGTCTATAATTAGTGGAACACCAAGCTTTCTTGAGGTAAAAGGGCTTTGCAGCAGGCTTGGTGTACCCACAATAAAATATTATTGGTATATAAAAATAGAGGCAATTAATAAAATATAACTAAAATAGCGTATCACAATAGGACTATCCTGAATAAAAAATGGTCAGATACATATAATGGATAAAACATAATTGAATACATATATCATCCAATTAATACAGAGAGTTTCTCATACACGATATCAATATATAAACATGTATAATAAGTACAATAGAAATAAACGAGCATAAAATTAGCAATAACAAATAAGGTCAAATGGCATAAAAATCGAACGACCTAAAAAAGGTCGAACGACCTAAAAAAAGTATAGAATGGGAATTATAATAGCATAGTAAAAACAGATTACAGTAAATTAGAGGCTAGTGGCGATATAAAGGGAAAAAAAGACAGACAGGACTAAGATATATAAATGGTTACTAATAAAAATACACAATACGTCCGAGGGGTATAACTCTCGGGACATAACTCTCGGAAAAAAATAGCAATGTATATATCAATATAAGTTAAATAACAATGTATATCAATGTAAAGTTAAAATTACCAAGAATATATGTGAAGGGATGTTTATCAAAAGCTCATAAATAATAGTATAGATTATAACCAATAAAAACACATAATCGGGAATAAAATCTAAAAATTAATGGTATATAACAAGGGTATATTTATATAGTTAAATTAAAACTGGACTAGATAATATATCAACTATTCTCTATAAAACAGTTCAAGTCAAAGTCGACATTGAGCCCATTGGGGTGCAGGGAGCCAAGTTCATATATCCATTTTGACTCCAACTGTGACACCATTCTCTTATTATTTGATCCCCTCCAGTGGGTATTAGCAACTCCAAAACCCATAAAGCTCAATAAAGATGGATCATTATTGTGTCGTTTTTTTGAAGTGATGTGAAAGGGAATGTTCTTTAAACCCCTTTTTTATATTAGATACATGCTCCCTGAGTCTATCTTTTAAGCATCTAATGGTACGTCCCACGTACTGCAATTTGCATGGACATTGAAGGAGGTAGACAACGTTTTTACTGGAGCATGTGATAAAATCATCTATACAATATGTTGTCCCTTTTACAGTGGAACTGAAAGATTGATTTCTCTTGGTAAACATGGTAAACTTGCTACATCTGCAAATAATGCATTTTTTACAGGGAAAAAAACCTTTTAGGTCAGAAAACAGTGTAATATTTTCAGGAGGGTCTACAATATTAGAAGATATAATATTTTCTAAGTGAAGCGGCCCTTCTAAAGGTAATTTCTGGTTTCTCAGGTAGTAAACGATTTAACACAGGGTCCAATTTCAATATTTTCCAGTTCTTTTTGATAATTCGAGCTACAGCTTAGACTTGACTCTTATCAATCAAGAAGGTAGGATTATAACAGAAAATTACTTCAAACCTACAGACAGAAATGCACACCATACTTAGGACATATTTATTTGTAAAAAAAAAATTTTGAAATCCATTTACAATTTTCCTTCCACTTCACAATTATGTACCAATTTGTGTTGGTCTATCACATAAAATCCCAATAAAATACATTTACGTTTTTAGTTGTACCATGAAAAAAGTTGGAAAGTTTCAAGGAGTATGAATACTTTTTCAATACTTTTTTATGGTTAAACACTTCTAAGATATTTTACACATACAGTGGGGTGAGCTGAGGTAAGTTTTTGTCCTTGGGATGAAGAAGTCTTATCAAGACACAAAGTTTGCCTGGTTGTATGACAGGTGTCAGATTTATGGTTAGTTACAATGACGTACATCTTGGCAACCAATCATATCATTTTGGGTGGTTGGCAAACGTGCCAAACACCCAAACAACCCATAAAAAATGCAAACAAGGAACCTTAAACAGCAGCTTGCAAAACATTTCCTCAATGGGGAAGGGAGGAACCCGCCCCTTAATAGTGTACTCAGGAATAGGTGTGGTAGAGGAGGCCACCAGGCCTTTCCTTGGGCTGTCAGTGAGCATAAAATGAATCTGACCTTTTACAGGAGGCTGCAGTGGACAGGTACACACAAAGTACCTGGACCACAACCATGGAGTGCAATGCAACTTCCTTAGGATGCGACACAAGGAATGCAGGACAATGTCCTCATTTAGGTGAAAATCCAAAACCAATGTCGGAAGAAAGGAGGGGGACAGACAAATAAAACCCTTACCCTTGTGCAGAACCAAATAGAGAGACTTACAAGATAAGGTTGCCAGCTCATAAATGATGGAGACCAGGAAGCAGGGCCAGATCTAGCCTGTTCGATGTGCGGATGCAGTAAAAAATGTCAGGGGGCAGAGGATGGGAGGTCAACAGGGCAGTGTATAGGGGGTCAGCAAGGCAGAGGATAGTGTCAACAGTTTGTAGGGCAGTGAACAGTTTGTAGGGCAGTGAACAGAGGTCATTAATTTGTAGGGCAGTGTACAGTGGTCAGCAAAGCTGAGGACAGGGGTCACTGCTGGAAAGGCAGAAAACAAGAGTCACTTTTGGCTTGGTAGAGGGACAGGGGTCACTTTTGGCAGGGCAATCAGCAGAGCTCCTTCTTCCATTCCTGCACTGCACACAGCTTAGTCACAGGCAGCAGAGCTCCTCCTACGCACACAATGCATAGCTGAGATCAGTATGGTGTCAGACAAAGACAGTATAGTAGATGGTAAAGTATCAGATTAGGGCGGTATAGTGTCAGATTAAAGTAGTATGGTGTCAGGCTAAAGCAGCACAGTAACAGATTACGGCAGTTTATTGACAGATTAGGGTGGTATAGTGGTAGGTTAGTGCAGTAAAGTGGCAGGTTAGGGCAGTATATTGGCAGGTTAGGTTAGTAAAGTGTTAGGTTTGGCCAGTATAGTGGCAGGTTTGGCCAGCATAGTGGTAGCATAGTGGCAGGTTATTGCAGTAGAGTGGCAGGTTAGGGCAGCATAGTGGCAGGTCAAGGCAGTATAGTGGCAGGTTATTGCAGCATAGTGGCAGATTAGGACAGTATTGTGCCAGGTTATTGCAGTACAGTGGCAGGTTATTGCAGTATAGTGGCAGGTTAGGGCAGCATAGTGGCAGATCAGGGCAGTATAGTGGCAGGGTATTGCCATATAGTGGCAGGTTAGGGCAGAAGAGTGGCAGGTTATTGCAGTATAGAGGCAGGTTAAGGCAGTAAAGTGACAGGATAATGCAGCACAGTGGCAGGTTAGGGCAGTATAATGGCAGGTTAGGGCAATATAGTGGCAAATTATTGCAGTATAGTGGCAGGTTATGGCAGCATAATGACAGTATAGTGGCAGGTTAGGGCAGTATAGTGGCAGGTTATTACACTATAGTGGCAGGTTAGGGAAGTATAGTGGCAGGTTAGGGCTGACAGCGACAGTGTGATAGTGACAGTGTGCTCGGTCACTTACCTCATGGCTAGAGACAAAGACTCCCAGGCTGCTGTGCACACTCCGCCCCTTTGCTCTTCTTCAGCTTCAAGACCAGCCAGAGTGAAGGAGTCTGTGGGGAGAGTAGAGGATGCAGCCACACCCCTAGCCCCACCCACCAACTGGCCACCTCAGGAGATACTGAAGATCCCCTAGGGGTAATGTAAGCTACTTAGATGACAAGGGAGAGGTACAGGCAGCCTCCCCCACCTGCTTACATGATCATTGATTTACCTGGGCTGTACATTCACCAGTACACAGTTTACAAAGCTGCAAGGACAAGGAAAGTTCAGCAGTCTGCAGTATGATTTAGAAGGCAGGCAAAGTGTTCTGGGGGGGGGGGTGCAGTTGGCTTTCTTTCGGGGGGGGGGACAACTAAAATTTGGGGGGGGGGCATAGCCCTCCCCAGCACCCTCCTAGATCTGGCCATGCTAGGAAGGCAACTTTTGGAGAAAGAGTAAGCAGGGGAATATCCTGAATACTCCCCAAAGTAAGGCATCTGGAGAACTGAAAGAACTGAATTCAAGTTCCGCAGTGGTAATGGGGAGCACTGGGCGACGAACCCCTTGAATAAGGGTGCGAAGTAGGAAGTGCGCAGC